TGGAACAGAGTTCTTTTCAGGTGGGGAGGGGGAGTAGAACTCCTTAGCATCAGAGCGTGTTAATTACTGTATTAAGAAATAGTAATGATCCGATAGTCATTTTGAAAAATCTTTTCTTAGTGATCATCTAGAAGCCAAGAGGAACATACGTGCCAAATTTAAAGTTTGTAGGTTTTACGGTTCTGGAGATTTTGCGATGAGTGAGTAGTAGTTGGCTTTTATGTATATAGAGATTCTCCTCTTTTGTTTGTTGCAATGATTACTTGTAAAAGACCATGGAGACAGGACACCATAAACAGGTTCTTAAGAGCAACAGATGAATTCCAATCATAAGGGTACTTATTAATACAGCTACTATATTGAAGAGAAACAGATTGGGGTTGCTCAGAGCTTGGATGGCAAAAGGTGGAAGAAAGAAACAGGATAATGAGTTCAAGTAAGATGGTGGTGTGGATTTTCATTCAGTTCAGAGTTCACGTGACTCCAGATGATTCTGGGTGGCTTATATTAATAATAATAATAATTCCAAGAAGAAACTCATCTTAAGCACGAAGAACACAGATTCTGAATTACAATACAATAATCTATAGGGGCTCAACCACAATTTGCCCAAAGCCTTGGAGAACAGCCAAGTTTTCAATGACTTTCTGATCATAATAAGGGCAGGAGATGTACCTATCTCTGAATACTATGATTGTATCCGCTTATAGCTGATTTTTTTCACTAACTGTTGTTAGAGATAAATGCTATGTCTGAGTATCATGGATGGATTAAAATTATTTGTATCTCTGAAAGGCATGTGGCAGGAAACCAAACAGTATATAAACAAGAGTTATAGCAGAAGTTCAATTCAACATCACATTTCAATAAAAAAATAATTAGGAAAGCAAAGCCAAGCTGAATCCACCATAGAGCCAGTGATTTATAAACTGTAAACAATATTAAATATACAAGTGCATGCACACAGAAATGCCTCAATCCAAAATTACGCATATGCTCATACAGGAAAGGAAATCCACCCATGCTCAGAATTTGCTTCAATGAATTTCACAGGGGCCTAGAACTAGCTCAAAAGTCTCATCCTTGGTCTTCAAAACACTACAGGTAGCCCTCGACTTACGACCACAATTGACCCCCAAATTCCGGTTGCTAAGCGAGACAGTTGCTAAGCGAATTTTGCCCCATTTTACAATCTTCCTTGCTACAGCTGTTAAATGAATCTCCGTAGTTGTTAAATTAGCGACACGATTCAGTAAATCTGGCTTCCCCTTTGACTGGTCTTGGCAGAAGGTCGCAAAAGGGAATCACAGTGCCCAGCAACCATCATAAATACGAGTCATAGGCCAAACATCTGAATTTTGAACATGTGACCATAGAGATGCTGAAATGGTTGTAAATTTAAAAAATGGCCATAAGTCCCTTTTTCCAGTGCTGTTGTAACTTCGGTGACTAAATGAACTGTTGAAAGATGAGGACTACATCTGTAATATCAGTTTCCATGTTCTTCTGACTTTTCACACCTGCTGTCAACGTCAAATGTAAGGTTTCCCCATTCTAGAGGGTGGTATATTTGCTCCACTGGGCCAGCTTCAAGAGAGGCTCACAAAAATAACTGAAGGCAAAAAAAACCCTATTGAGTGGATAGAAGATAAACTATTTATGGGTGTTCTTATGGCGTCTGTCTGCGAAACATTTGATCTATCCTGCTCTTTTCAGATACTTATTGGCTTGAGTCATTTCTTGAAAATGACTAAAATGACTTGCTGATACGGTTCTACAGAGGAATTATTGAGTCTGTCATCTGCACCTCTGTAACTGTCTGGTTTGGTTCTGCAACCCAACAAGACAGACACAGACTTCAGAGAGTAATTAGGACTGCAAAAAAAAAAAAAAAACCAATTACTATCAACCTGCCCTCCATTGAGGACCTGTATACTGCACGAGTCAAAAAGAGGGCTGTGAAAATATTTACAGACCCCTCACATCCTGGACATAAACTGGTTCAACTCCTACCCTCAAAATGACGCTATAGAGCACTGCACATCAGAGCAACTAGACACAAGGAGTTTTTTTCCCCAACGCCATCACTCTGCTAAACAAATAATTCCCTCAGCACTGTCCAACTATTTACTAAGTCTGCATTACTATTACTATTAATCTTCTCATTGTTCCTATCACCCATCTCCCACTCGTGACTGTATGACTGCAACTTTGTGGCTTATATCTTTACAATTTATATTGACTGTTTCCTAGTATGATTTGATTGCTTATTCGTACCCTATGACTATCATTAAGTGTTGTACCTGATGATTCTTGATGAATGTATCTTTTCTTTTTATGGACACTGAGAGCATAGGCACCAAAGACAAATTCCTCGTGTGTCCAATCACACTTGGCCAATCAAGAATTCAAAGAAAAAGAAGAAAGAAAACTACTGATGTTTCATGGGAAGACCAGAACCATCAAGGTTGGGAAATGATGCGGAAAATAACACCAAACCTCAACTTTTGCTTCAAAGGAGGGGACCAAGGAGGAGCCAGGAGGAGGTTAGGAGAAAATAAAATCTGCACGCCTACACATCCCCAAGGATATTCTATCTGGAACACACCAGCTAACGTTTGTTTATTCTGAGGCACTGGAAGGAAAGGATGGCCAGATGGTAGCTGAAAGAGTAGCACCGTAATGCTGAATCACAGTAATGGAAACTCCTGCACTTAAGCTTCTATTACAGTGTTGGGCAAACAAATTTCCTGGGCAACGACAGGCATCATTTAAAGCCAAAAGGAATGTTGACATATCTTAATGCCTTATGCTCATAACTGTAGAATAGTAAACGAAAGAGGTACAGGCACATGGCGTTAGCCCCACCTGGTGTGCCAGAACTAGGAAATGAGGAAAAAAAAGCCAGTTTAGTGTACTGGCTAAGGTACTGGTTAGAAACTAGGAGATGGTGAGTTCTAGATTTGCCTTAGGGATGAAAGCTGACTAGGTGGCTTAGGGCCAACCAATGGAAAACAGCGAGTTCTAGACCCACCTTAGGCATGAGAGTCGAAGTGGGCTTTGAACCAATCACCAGGAGATGGTGAGTTCTAGTCCTGACTTAGGCATAAAATCCAAGTGGGTATCTTTGAACCAATCACCAGGAGACGGTGAGTTCTAGTCCTGACTTAGGCATAAAATCCAAGTGAGTGTCTTTGAACCAATCACCAGGAGATGGTGAGTTCTAGTCCTGCCT